ACACACACACACACACACACACACAGAGTAACATGGGGCAGGGTGATGACAGCAGTGAAGTGAAGCAGTCATTTCCTGAGCACCATGGCCAGATGTCTCACACACTACGTCTCCGAAATCCCGCTCACACACATACTGGTGTGTAATAAGTCAGACATTTAGTTCTCATTAATACCAATACAAGGGTCACTCAGACAGCTGCTCGGCAAAACCTCATTACGACGTCCTGCTAAAGGGTGAACCTCACTATTGGGGAACAGAGTTGGATAAAATAACAGAGTGATATTTTAGTGAGTGTTCTCAGTAATGCGTGTGTGTTTGCATGTGAGGCAGCGTGTGGCTTAATTACTGTGTGCTAATGAAAAGCTGTGTGTGAGTTTGTGAGCAACTCATATGGTGGAACTGCCACACTGCGCTCTCAGCTCGTAAATTGCACACCTTCTAAAGGACGTAGGCTGTTGCTTGTGTGTGTGTGTTAAAAAGCTAAAAACACGGATTTTAGGGCCCAGATCAACAGAGTGCAACTGCAGTAAAAATCTCCTTAGAGATTAGTTGGTGTATAGTGGATGTTATTCTGAATTGTTAGAGCGAATGATGTGCTAACGTGGATGTGCTGTACCAGATGTGAAAATGTTAAACTTAGATAAATGTATCATTAATCATCTAAGAATGTGTGCGGATGTGAGAAATAGAGACTATTCTATTGCATATGGGGAAACTTGCATAAACCCCAGATGTTTCCAGACTCATCCATGTTTTGAGCCATCAGAATGTTTCCCTGTAGTTTCCAGAAGAGGGCACTACAGAGAAACTCATCTTCTCTTTCTCCTTAACACTGGGAGAAAATGAACAACCTTCAAAATGCTTGGTAAAGCATAATAGATATATAACATAGCTTTCTTTTGATTATAAACTTGAGCACTAGCATACTAGCAAACCTTTTGAGTAAAAAAATGCAATATTTAGCAAATTATTTTTGTTTGAATAAATACAGAATCATGAACTGCATTCGGAAACATTTTTATTTTTATATTTTATTTTAGTTCATTTGTTCCTATACTTTTATTGCATATGTTGTTATTCCTTTTCCGGACTTGTCACTTGTCCTAAAATAAAACTAAGATTAGTATCTCTGTATGGTTTTTAACATTTAAACAGGTCAAAAATGAATCAAACAGCACAAAAGAGTTATAAAGAGCACAAAAAAACGTACAAATTCATTGTTGTTTGGATTGGAACTCCACCGTAGTCCAGTAACATAAATCATTTGACACAACTCATTTTGTGGTCACTGTAAAACTCACGCTAAAACAAGCCATTGCTGAATTAACTTTTTCTTTAATGATTCACACTCCGAACAACACATAAAAAAAGCAGCTTTTAAGTTTCTCTAGTAAGTCATTTCAAAAGGGCAAGCGTAGAACAAGAAAGGGGGTTTTGTTCTGTGCTTTTCATTAATTGCACATGCAAAAAACAGTGTTTATACCCCTCATGCCTTATTCTATGGCCATTCTGTCACTGATTAGCAGCAAAA